TTGATTGAGCACGCTAAAAGGCAGACCATGGTGAGTTAGTTACACATGATCCTTCATTTCTGAACTAGTAGGATAATGGCCTGTAATTTTTTCAGTTTCACCAAATGAGATATTTCCCATTTGCTTATCCTTACTATTTAATACTCTGTCCTTAAAATAATATAACTGCTTAAATTATCAACGCCTTATATTGGCCCGTAACTTTAAAATATGTCATTTATTTTCTCGTAGCTTGACTTTATATTTTTTATCCCATTCCTTTTATGATATATCTGTCTGCTTCAACTTTATAGGTCAAAATGATAAATCTTTTCTACTTATTATAATGCCAATGCCATACGATTTTGTCTACTTTAGGCGATTGCAACATGTTTTATTCTAGAACTGGATAATCATACTCATCATAAATAAATCATACTTTTTCCTGTTATGAATAAATTTGCTTGCTTTGCATTTTTCTCTTTCGTTTTCGAAATAGATATCCAGCATTGTCCAACGCGTTTCCACGTTAGAAAATCGTCTAAGACTCGTTGAAGACAAAGTTTTGGCAGAATCACATTGCAAAAATGCCGGCCCTGGAATTGAGGCTAGTTCCATATTTATGATCTCATTAATAATTATCTTTCCAATCATACATTTTTTTTTCTAAAATTTAGTTAGCAAAATAAAGCATTTCCTAAAACTTCATCACTTTTTATTTTCCTGGACTATCTGTCTATTTACCTAATTATACGAATGCTTGAGGGACATGACGAGTTGTTTATATACACTTTTCGGACCATTGAGTTGGATTGCGTTTATCGCATTGATTACTGAAGAAATCTTATAAATAGATTTTTACTACAGGCGATCAAGATACCTCTTTTACTTCATGCTATGTTAGTCCATATCGAATCGTTTTTTATTTAAAACTCCTAGAGGCCTCAGTTCTTATTAAAGATTTTTTTCCCCTTAGCCTTGACAATTACGCTGCTGAGCCGTCTCTTGAATAGAACGCTTTTTTGGGGGGGAATTATCGCTGATATAGCTATGAATCAGCTCTAAATGCATTTCCTATCATCTGGAAGATATTTTTAATTAATTTCTTCGAAGTCATCTCTACTAATACTTTCTCTTTTCATCTCTGCCTTATTTCATAGTCTATTATCCAGACAACACCCACCATATATGAGTATATTGTCACTTTGTGTGTATCTTATCGATGCATCTACCCAAATCATCGAAGCCTGTGCTCTAATATCCTCTTTATTTAATGTAGGCGTAACTTATTTACAGTTATTGACACGAAAACAGATTTCTCTTAATTAATCCATAAACTTTTTATGACGTCTGATCAGTATCATCTTTGACATTTATTTCCCTAGTCTCGATGACTTCATTACTTGAGTAACAGATTTTGGGGCAGTGTTGCGATTATATAATGTGTGAACTCCACCTTGTATTCTTAAGATATTTTGCCTGTTATTTGTCTTTCATATTTTTTCATTTTTCTGTATGTTTGTTCGAAGGATGAGACTAATCTTAAAAGCCATACAAGCCCCAGTGGGCTAACTTAAAATCTCATACATTTTTAATTACTCTAATCGGAAAACGGCTGGTCTTTTTTACCATCAGGATTGCCAAACCTTTCCATCTCGACTTCGGAGTCTAGACTACGGTGCAGGACTTCGCCTTACTGAAATCCATGCTTCAGAAATGGATTCTGTCACTCGCCTCGGCGAATCATTTGCCCGAACTGCTTTAGATTCAGCTGGTGTTGAAAGAGGCGGTGTAAATTCCGGCAATGATTCGAATATAACCACAAGGCAACACTGTCTGACGCCGTCTGGTGAAATTCAACTCGATAAAGAGCCACGGGTTTTTGCTGCTTTTCGCCAACCCTATCATTCAATGAATACCAGTCTGGAGTCACCTGACTATGAAGAACGTCCGACCAACGACCGACCCGAGCAGGCTCGACGGAGTCACTTATCAGAGCAACTCAGTACAAGGCCGATCACCGACTTTATTAATGGCGATCGGTCTGAACTGCGAATTGCCGGGCATGGAAATGAAGCGAATCAAGTTTTCACTAAGCCATCAACTAAGGTCTGTGAGGAAAGTCGATATGTCTGCAACGGTATAGGGAGCGGGCGGCCTCACGCTTTGAGAGATGGGCATTTGGCTCATAATGGACTCAGTGCTCATGATAATGGGGCAATTAGGAGCCAGTTTGTCAAGTCTCTGGAACCTCCTGAATCAGATAGAGCAAAGAAGGTGAGCATCTCATTTTGCAAGCCACTTTTATATATAGGCCTTAGTGCCTATCTTACCTAGCATATTACTCTGTAAAGCATAGTTCATTTATTTAGTACATCTAATATTTGCCACAAACATATCCTTAAGGAGATGTAACCAACTGAATAGCACCTAGCCTGATTTCCTTCCGATATTGTATAAAATCTTCCAATATGGAGGATCGAGTTTGTCATTGTTAGATGAGATGTGTTTGAATACTTGGTCTACTTAATAGTCCA